AGGGAAGGGAAAGAGAAATTGTGTAAAAGACTGCTTTTCTGTGTAGGACTCGGGAGTTTCCCAGTTCCCCTCTGATCCACCTGGGTATCTGGAGGCAGTGAGATGAAGTGTTTTCAGGCAGAAATGTGGCCATCCAACCCTGGAACACCCAGAACAGAGAGATGCAGTTGAGAGATAAACACCTATCTCACCTAATAGCCACGGCTGCTCTAGAGCAGGTGAGGCTCTGGGCAAGGTTGATCTTGAGGCCCGTTGATTCTCATACTTGGAGAGAAGCAAACCAAGCTCATATTGTTTTTCCTCATTCAGAATTCTAAGCCACTCTTCCTGTTTCACCAACTAAGAAAGTTACATTTCTTCTGAAATTGATTTTTTGAGAATATAATGTGTTATCTATCAGCAAGGCCTGTGTATATTTAAGGCCTTAGAGAGGGGTAGCAAATTCTGTAACTTCTCATGATGCATCCAAAGCAAACCATGGCTTGACAAGACCTCAGAATCCTTCTTAACACAGTGTCACTGCTACCGCCTGTAATCACTCTGTCTGCCAAAAGGTCAGAGGCAGTGTTGACCCTGGAACCTATTTTCTATCTGCTCTGAGCAGAAGCCTAATTTACTTTTTGCTCCAACTGCCTCTACTTCTACTATTAGTTATATCAGTGAGTGACCTCTCAGAATAATCTGGCCTTCAAATTTGATGAAAATTTGACTGCGGAGTATTATCCACAAGCAAAGCTATCCATAGTAACTTAAAAGCCTCTCTTCAATAAGTGCTGAAGAAGCACGTAAGTGAAAATTCTAGAGATGGGCATTTTGTTAGACTGATTTGTTGTTTTATGTCTCTATCATGAAACTAACATTGACTTCTTCAGAGAGTCAATGTCAGAAAATGTGGGGTTTTCGCTCTTTGTATATTCCCAAACCTTCTTTTGATACGTGAGCTCCAAATGGCATAACCGTCTGCCCTTCTGCTTGAGCCCCCTCAGCAGAGGCGATAGCGGGGGAGTGAGCTCTGTCCGTGCTCCGGTCTGCGAGCCCCTCCACGGACACGTGTAACCGAAATGTGGGTTTTAACGGTGACAGCCTGGACCTGAGTTAGGCGACCAGGTTTGTTCCCCTTGAACATGCTACTCAATTCTTGCTGAACTTGGCATTCGTATGGTTGGATTTGTGTTTAGATTCTGTTTATGAGATTCAGCAGAGAACTGCTTTCATTCCAGAAAGAGCTAAGGCAGCTCCTTCTTACCAGGAATCATTTACAGATTGCCCGGTCGTGTCACAGGAGACACTGATTCTGGATGGCTTGTAATGCATTCCCCAATCCCCTTCTGCTACCTTCACGTAGTTTTCCGTTTGATCAGATAAGAAATGTCTGTTTCGCGTTTTGTCATCAGTGTGGTGCAGAGTCACCAAGCTCACATAGTTTTTAAAAGAACTGGATAATGGCTGAACAGTAAAGTTTACCCCAAGCCTAGAACACTTCCCTCAGATCCTAGTAATGATTCAGAAAGGATGCTGGTCCACAGATGGAATACAACTATGATATTGAAATCAAATGTGTGTTTGAAAATTATCAACTTCATGATCTCTGGTTACCCAGGGCCTCAGCATTTTACATGTGAGCAATTAGAAATGGCTTTAAAATCAGAGGAGGCATCAGGTTAAATAAAGAATCTTGAGTTGCGTATATTTCAGAATAATTTGACATCCACTCTGTCCTCAAATTGCTTTTGAATGTAATCACACGAAGGACACTTGGAATCACAAATGCTTACATTTTCCTTTCCTGATCTGTTCTACTTCTATAACCCTAGAGAAAGCAGGAAGCTATCAGAACACTCAAGGATGGAATTACCCTAAATGTAAGTGCACTTTTTACACACAGGCTGAGGTCATTTGTTTTACCTCCTGAGAACACCAGGCACACTGAGGTCCAATGAGTAAGCAGTCCTCACAGGTCTCTGCATCCCCCATGGCACAGCCACCTGTTTTTAAACCCAGCAAGACACAAGGGATTCAGCACACTCTCTGCCACTCCATTCATGAGATCTACGGCTCTTAAGGTACTTGAACAAAACAATACCAGAGTTCAGTTTTTAGTCTTCAAAGATCAGTCCTCAAAATGTGAGCAATCCATAGTAAAGTTCATATTTTACATCTATCACCTTGAAAATAGGCATGTCTTAGTAGCCAAAAATAATCATTCTCTTTTTTCTTAAAATCTGAAAATATCTTAACGTTCACAAATACAGGATCATCATATTTATCGTCCCCATTCAGTATCATCCCCCTTTAACTTTTTAAAAATTATTCGTACCCATTAAAGGATGCTTCCCTCTTAAATGTACTGCATTTTTATTTAAAAACTAAGTCCCCCTTCTCTCAAGGTTATCACGCTCAAGGGAAGGCCCTGTTGCACAATAAGGTGGCTAGAAAAGTTACCAAAATGGTTGTCACAAGAGTATTAAGAAGTCCTCTTGTGCAGCAGTGCTGTTTAATTCTCTCATTAAGGTGCCCATGCAACCTTTGTATTTATTTATCTTAAGCCCGGAGCATTCGCTGTGGGAACAGCCTTGCGTCCGCCTGTAATTTGTTAAAGTGTTTGTTCAATGGCAAAAGAGCAATTGAACAGATCAAATAAAAAATGACTTCTGATCTAGTTTCTGAATCACACGGCAGGTTTGTCAAGCACACTACGAAAGCAATATATTGGAGAACTAACGTCTTACCTTGTACGTGATCATTCCTTCCTAGAAATAGAAAGAACAGGCAAAGCAGTTCAATCCCCATCCGTTTCAGTTCTCGCTGTGCAGACAGATTAAAAAGTGAATTACCTTCAACATTACAAGACTAAAGCTGAGCATCGTTAAAAGTCCTTCTTTCTTGAAGTGTAAAATTGTAAATACTACTTACGCTGCTTTGAAAAGAAACTTGAGATGTAAATTTAAAAGTTTTCATTAAGACTGAAATGAAAACAGAAGCTACCTGGACAGGTAAAGAAGAAAAGCTGTGCTTAAGAGCAGCTTCAGCATGATTTACTTCCTTGTTCTCCTTATAAGGAAGGCAGGTGTACAATCACCAAGAAGGTGGGGAAAATTCATTCAGTAGAAATTTTTGTGTAAATTCTATTAGTCTCTCTGCATCCTAGAGAAAGTTGACACCTTTAGTAAAACATTGATGGATGAAATGTCAAGAGAGCAATTGAAATATGATCTAAAGTTGTTTCTGAAATAACTATAATTTAATGTAAACAATAAAGATGATAAATAAAACACAAATATGTCAGTTATGTATAAGGAGGGTTTACAAAATGAGCTAAAGGAAAATACCTGCGATTTTTATGTTCCATTGTTAAATCCTTTCAGAGAATTGAGATGAACTCTGAAAAATAAAAATCATTATTTTATAATTTAGAAGGCAGTCTAGGGAAAGCAAGATACTGTGTTCCCTTGTTTTTTAAGTTGGATGAAAGACATTTTTCCATAAGTATAAAATTCCTATTTAAAGGCATTATTAGAAAAAATATAATGTTTCAAAATTAGTCTCAAACAATAACAGTGGAAACAGAAACAATGGTGCCCAAGTTTCTGAATCCCTCTCGTCCGCATAGCGACCAAGTTCTCTTTCTCATGTACGGTCCCTGCTCCCAGCTCACTACTTGGCACGTAGAAGATATTTATTTGTTGAACAGAAAACTGACACATTTAAAATACAACAATCTATGGCTAATTTCAGGAGTTTGATTATGTGTTTTTCCTAATATATTCCAGACAGTGTTTGGGGTTTGCAGATACTGCAAACAAATATTTATTTCGTTGCTCTCCAAACTGCTTGACCTTAGACAGGCTTCTTTGTGGCTTGCTTATGTCCTGGGAGATTATCTTTTAAAGGTATATTTCTAGGCAAGCATGTGAAACTTGTGAAGAGAGAAAACTAATTATAGTCTGCTCAGGTTCTTCTCAGAAAGCTGTGTTCAATTTTGGACTCCATCACACACAGGAATCTGCAAGAACACGGCAAGAATCCTTCAGAGAGAAACCAGAATTATTAAAGACTTGAGAGGATACCTTTTGGGAGAAAAACACGTTATATGCAATCAGTTGATTTAGGTTGAAGAAGAAAGATTAAGGCACAGATACCTGTGTCCCTCATATTACCTCTGGTTAATACTGGTATCCTGTATTAGCTGTCATTCATTTATTCATTCATTCATCCATTATTCAATAAATATTTATTGAGCATCTACTTTGCGCTAAGTATTATTCTAGAAGCAGAGGATATGTCAGTGAACAAAGCCAAGCTCTTGGCCCGTGAAGTATATATTCTAGGCTGGGGAACAGACAGATTCTTAAAATCAGGCTGTCCTAAGGGTTATGAAAATGATAAATCTGGGTTCAAGAGGAAAGAGGGGGGCTTCCCTGGTGGCGCAGTGGTTGAGAGTCCGCCTGCCGATGCAGGGGACACGGGTTCGTGCCCCGGTCCGGGAAGATCCCACGTGCCGCGGAGCGGCTGGGCCCGTGAGCCGTGGCCGCTGAGCCTGCGCGTCCGGAGCCTGTGCTCCGCAGTGGGAGAGGCCACAGCAGTGAGAGGCCAGCGTACTGCAAAAAAAGAAAAAAAAAAAAAGAGGAAAGAGGGGTAGGAAGGGTGTGTTATTTTACTAGCCTACGTACAGACTTCCACCCCAGCCCTAAAATCCTAGTTGTGCTGCTTTGTTTAGTATCTGTCCTCAGTCACAGCCCCTGTGATGCGCACTCCCCCCCACGTCCAAGGCTGAGCACACACCATTTGCGCTGTCTGGAGGCGTGTGCTTCTTCCTCATTCTCCTCACTTGGCTGACTCAGCTCTTATCCAGGTCTCAGTACAGACATCAATGCCCTTAGGGAGACCTTTTTGGTCTCGCCAGGCCTCCCTTCCTGTGGACTTTCCCCAGGATGGCCCTTTCCAATCTGCTTGCAGTTGCCAAAATCCTTGCCTCTCTCCCGCAGTAGACTGTGAAGTTCTTTAAGGCACTGATTTATTCAACAAGTATTTATTGAATTCTTTTTTTTTT